AACTTTTACACTGAAGCATATTTAAGCTGTCAGGTGTGTTTGCTGTTCCTAACAAGTTTGTATATTGTCTTAACAGCCTTAAAGAGTTGCTGAGAGCCAAATTAATTGAATGCGGCTGGAAGGATCAGTTGAAGGCACATTGCAAAGGTAACTGTGGTCAAGTAATTAATATCCTTTGTAGTTAACTGAGATGAAGGCTGCACTGCCTAACAGTCAATTTAAATGAAATCTAGGAAAGAGGAAAGTATCCCTGGCAGTTAGTTTTCATGCAGGAAAACATTTTACTATCTTGGCAAAAAAAATCTTGGAAGAACTCTGATCTGAACCTTATTAAGCTTCTGAGACAAGGGTGGGAATTGGTTCCCTAAATATTCATGATGATACAGCTTTTTTTTTGAGAAAGATGAAGAAGAATTGAGCAAATACAGTGGTTTGCAGCTTACAAACTCTTAACTTACTGAACTTGCAACTTTGTCAACACACAGGAGAGAAAGAAGTGCATTTGAACTCTTTCTGAATACAATTCTTGAAAATAAGATGATCGGCTTAGAGGAGGGAAAACAAGCAGATGAACCTCTAAATACCCAAGTCTTTAGTTTTGAGTTAAGTGTTTAGCATTACTACAATTTACTGATTTGTAAATCATATGATAATGTTATACATAGTATTTAAGCATCCAGGAATATTACCATGTGATGAAATTTCCTTAAAGCAAATAACAAATCCCTTGAGATTTCACTTTAATTCTGTTTTGGTCTATTGTGCCTGGAAATTCAATATTTTGTTACAGAGTTGTTTGGTTTTTTCTGTAGGGCTGTGTTAAATTGTTTTCATAGGTTCAGCAGAGGAGGCTGAAATTATTCATGCTTGCAGTCGTCTGGTTGATGCCACTGCCAGAGATTATCCATTTCAGCAGTACAGATAATGAAAGGGATGTTTATGTGCCTTCTTAACTGTATGCTTTACACTCTGCTATAGTAAAGAAATGTAAAATATTTTGCTTACATTAGTACTTTGAACTGTAACTGCAGCTGCTGAGACTGGAAAAATAGAAGTTAATTTGTCTGCATTAAGAGCCTAATAACCTCCAAAAGAAAGGACAGAGAGACATGGAGCTCCTGGAGTGGGTCCAGCAGAGGGTGACAAAGATGATTAAGGGATTGGAGCATCTCTTTGATGAGGAAAGGCTTAGTGAGCTGGGCCTGTTCAGCCTTGAGAAGAAATAACTCAGAAGGGACCTTATCAATATTTATAAGTATTGGAAGGGACGGTCTCAAGAGGATGGATCCAGGCTCTTCTCAGTGATGCCAAGCAGTAGGACAAGAGGGAACAGGCAGAAACTGATGCACAGGAAGTTCCATCTGAACACGAGGAAGAACTTTCCTGTGTGGGTGACGGTGCACTGGAACAGATTGCCCAGAGAGGTTCTGGAGTCTCCCTTACTGGAGATGCTCAAGAACTGTCTGAACACAATCCTGTGCCATGTGCTCTAGGATGGCCCTGCTTGAGGCTGGACCAGATGACCCAATGTGGTCCTTTCCAACCATAAACATTCTGTTATTGGGGGAGGTTGTGGGGTTTATTTGATTTGTTGGGTTTTTTTTTCTTTTCCAGTTCCTTTGTTGTGATGGAGGTTTCATTGGGGTTTTTTTCTGTTTTGTTTTGGTTTGGTTTTTTTGTAGCTTGTTCTAGAGCTTCTTGCCATTATGGATTAGGACCAACAACTGAGCAATCCAGGATTAATTTCAGGGAATTCAGCCAAGAAAAGCAGTTTACTAATAGTTCATATGATGTCAGTTCAGACAACATATTTAGTGTCTTGGGGACAATCAATCCTATGTACTGACATACAGTTAAAAACATACTTAAATAATATTTTAGGTTCATGCTACTGAATTGAGATTATTTCTCAACTTTGACTTCTGCATTCTTCAGTAATGTGCAAGGCACTATAAGTAGAAAATTCTTTAAATACTGATGTGTATTAATCATACACTATATCTTAATCATTACGGTTATTTTGCTATAGTTATATTCCTTTCTTTCAGAGATACTTTTCAACTTTGCTGAAATATAGAGACATGTTGTTTAAATCAGACAGGAAGAGCAGTAGCACTGTCCATGCTCTCTCTTTTTGTATGTTCCCGAGCCTTTATCCAGTTGCATCTTTCTCACTATGATGTAAATAATGTGTTCTAAGAGATAAGCAGCCACCTTGTGCTACAACGCTCCAGTAATAGGCACATCTGGTAATGCTCAGAGGAGATAAAACTTTGTAATTGTTTGTTTTTAAAATATGAGCTGAACAAGATCCATCAGAAGAGACAAGTTCCCATCCTTAAACCTATGGATGAGTGAGAGACTAATCCAGTGTCAAATGCTGTAGGTACTGAGTTAATAACCTACATTTAGGTCATTTGCTACTTCATATTCTGTGATGACATATGCGTGCAGGTTTTGTATCCTAATCAGTGGCACAGGTTTTGTCTTCTAATTAATGGATTAAAAGACTTAAAATACTGATCTTGGTCTTCCCCAGATGTCATTAAAGAGAAAGGATTAGAGCATGTTACTGTTGATGATTTGGTGGCAGAAATCACCCCCAAAGGCAGAGGTAAGAAAATACATATATAGATGTGTTAGTACATCAATAAACATACCTGCCTCTATTTCATTAATGTTTTGAAAGCAACATTATGAACTTGCCTGTGTTGGATTCAAGGAAAAATGTTAGTAGCTTAATATTAGCAACAAATAAAACATGTGAATAGGTATTGTGTAACAGTCATTCAAACTCTGTAATGAGCTGTGTGCATAGACTACTTGCAGGTTACATTATTTAGTCACGTCTGTATTCATCTTTATAATTGACTTAATAGTCCCAAGAAAAGTTGGAGTATGCAGCACAGATGTTTTAAAATTAATGATCCTTTAAGATGGAAAATCTGGACTAACAGGAGCCCCCAGTGGTCCAGGGGAAAATACACTGCACTGTCACTGCAGAGACCCGGGTTCGATTCCCGGTCGGGGCCCCTCCCCGGGCAGATGGAGCTCGTTAGCCCATAAGGCAATCCATCTACGTCCTGAGGACCTCGCTGCCACTGTCCAAGCGTGCTTGGCCCCGGCAGATGAACCTCAGGATTAAAGGGTGGGCT